CAAGATTTTGTGTAGATTACAGAAAGGTGAACACAGTAACAAAAAAATCAACATACCCACTACCACAGATCGATGACATTTTGTCATACTTGGGCAATGCAAAATGGTTTAGCACACTCGATATGTTTTCCGGATATTGGCAAGTTCCAGTCGAAGAGAAGTCCAAGCAATACACTGCCTTCGTGGCGCAAGGACATGGGACTTACGAATTTAATGTTTTAAGTTTTGGATTATGCAACGCTCCAGCCACTTTCCAAGAACTAGCAGACCAAGTTTTTTGGGATATGAAATGGAAGGAAGTGCTAATCTACCTAGACGACATCATTATATTCTCACAAACATTCGAAGAACACTTGAGCAAACTAAAGAAAGTTTTTGAGCGATTGCGACAAGCTAACCTTACTCTAAAACCAAGCAAATGCGAATATTTGAAAAAAGAAATCAAAATACTAGGATTCAAAGTAAAGGAGCAAGGCATATTACCAGATGAAGAAAAAATAATTTGCATAAAAGGGTTCCCGACGCCAAAGAAAATTAAAGATGTACAGAGCTTTCTAGGATTATGTAACTTTTATAGAAAATTTATACATAATTTTGCATCAATAGCAAGACCGCTACATGAAGTTACAAGAAAGAACATAGGTTTCAAATGGGGTTCTGAACAAAACAAAGCATTCAGCATTCTTAAAGAAAAACTGGTTTCCGCACCTGTGCTACAGCATTTCAATCCAAATAAAGATACCATTTTGCACACCGACGCAGCAACATGTGGAATTGGGACAGTACTTTTACAAGAAGACGACAAGGGAGAAGCACATCCAATAGCCTACATAAGCAGAAGTCTTTCAAATAGCGAGAACTATTCAATTAGTGAATTAGAACTCTTAGGCGTAGTGTGGGCATTGAGCTATCTGAGACACTTAATCTACGGGAGACCAGTAAAAATGGTTACTGACCATCATGCTCTTTGCTGGATGGACTCCATTAAGGAAAGTAACAGACGCTTGGCCAGGTGGGCACTAAAACTTGCAGAATTCGATTACACGGTTGTATATAAAAAAGGATCAACACATAGCGACGCCGACTGTATGTCCCGCAATCCAGTGCTTCAACCAGAATCCGAGGAAAAAGAAGAGCAAGAGGAGCTCCCCACATTCACACTAATTTCAATGCAAACGGCTACATTACAGGAGAAAGACCCAAGTCTAAAACAAATATTCAAAGCTATAAGCAACCCAGACGACCCAGAAATTAATATTGGCATCAGAAGAAGTGCAAAAAATTTTAGGATTGAAAAAGACTTACTCTATAAAATTAATAAGACAAAAAACGGCTTAGAAAAAGTATTAGTAGTACCAAAATCAATGAGAGAAGAAATTTTGTGGGAGCTACATGCATCACCGACAAGTGGACACTTGGGACTGAGAAAAACAACAGACAAAATTAAAAACAGATTTTTTTGGGATGGAATGCTAAAGGACATCGAAAAGTACGTTAAGGGATGCCCAGATTGTCAAGCTAGAAAGGGGCAACCTTACAGAGAAACGCCAGGGATGTTACAACCAATACCGGTGGGAACAATTTTCGACAAAATCGGAATTGATCTTTTAGGCCCATTTAGAAGAAGCAGTAAAGGGAAAACAATGATAGTTGTAGTTACCGATTACGCCTCACGATATGCCATCACAGCCGCCCTACCGAATGGAAAAGCCGACCAGTTGCAAACTTTTTACTGGAAAAAGTATTCTTAATACACGGGATGCCAAGAAATCTGCTCAGCGACAGAGGAAAAGTTTTTCAATCGGAATTAGTAAGGGAATTAGGAAAATTAATGGGAGTAAGAAGCCAATTTACAACCGCATACCATCCTTGTTGTAATGGTCTCACTGAAAGGCTAAATAAGACAATAGCTGACATGTTATCCATGTATTGTAACACACAGCAAACAGACTGGTGTAGCTATCTACCATTTATAACATTTGCGTATAATACAGCAATACAGGACACAACGAGATTTAGCCCATTTATGTTAACATATGCAAGGGAACCCACACTACCAGCAGAAGCTGCATTGTTGGACGCTGACAGCGAAACGGACGCTCTGCAAATTAGAGAAAAGGCACTCTTAATAAGAGCCATAGCAGTGGAAAATATACAGAAAAGACAAGGGAAAGATAAAGGGCGTTTTGATGAAAGACATAGAGAATTGGACTTTGAAGCTGGAGAGAAAGTTAAAGTGTTTATCCCAATCAGAAAGGTTGGAAGAAGTGAAAAGTTACTCTTAAGATGGTTTGGACCATACAAAGTAATTAGAAAAATGGGAGAAGTGAATTACGAGGTACAAAAGATCGGAAGCAGAAAAAAGGATACGGTCCACGTGAGTAGGATGTTACCCTACTACGATCCATGGACAAAAGCTGCGCCTATTGAAGAAAGGGCAGATGAGACAGATATAGCTGAAAACGCAGAATCTGAAGTTGATGAGGATGAAGAAGACGAAGAAAAAATTGAAGAAGAAATTGGAAGCAGTGAAGCAGAAAACGAGGAAGAAGAAGAAGACTGATTGTACAGATAAAACATAAACAAAACTATAAAGTAGAGAAAAAGGAAGTAGAGATAGGATGAAAAAATAGAGTAAGACATTAAAAAAGAGTAAACAAGGAGGGATGGAGAGGAATGACAGCTCAATATAAGAGGAAACTAGTGGATGACCTCATAATTCTAGGGGAAGATAGGGAATATGAATTAATGAAAGAAGAAGAATCAGAAATATTCTTATCGACGGAAGAAGCCTCCGAACGGATTTTAGAAAAGTACGAGCTACAAAAAGAAGGCATATGGGTATAACAAAAACAAGTTCGACTAAACTTACCTGTTGGAGCCATGATCAACAAATAACCCAATTATGAAATTTGGTGGCCCGATTGTGGGTCATAATTATTAAACTATGTAATTATAAGAATAAGCACATTTTTAAAAATATTATTTTGTTTTTTGCATGCTCTCCATCTTTTTCTGCTTGCAACATGAAATTGTGTGAAAGATTTGTCTCTGATGCAGTTTCTGCCAAAAATGCCATTGTGGTTCTGGCGTAACAAACCAGGAAACGACACTTAGACCGTGGGACCGATAGCACCCCACGATCTAGCTGACCCACCAAGAACTATTTGGAACCAGAACAGACCCACAATACAGAAAACAGAACCGCACCAAAAGAAAAAAAATAAACCATGGCTGAAGCGGTGAAGTTGATGAAATTTCTTAGTTGTAAGCTATTTTTTTTTTTGTAGTAACCTGAATAATAATGCACCCTCACCCATCCCACCATAAAAAACTTTTGTTAATTTTAATTTTTAATTTTTTTCTCTATACGCGATATTTGGAATATATAATTGCATCAGGGATATTTTATAATTAGGCTATTATTGTAAAAAAGGGATATTTTTAGGATAAGGATATTGTTGTATTTTTTTGACATTATCATGGTATTTGTATATATTTTGTTGTAAGTCTCTCTTCCAAGCATTGGGGTCCAATGCTTCATGGAGGGGGGGCATATGTCAACTAGCTGCTTAGGAAAGGAGGACCCGGTATTCAACCTTATTAATTTAATTGCCGATTCGGTCGCATGTTTATTGCAATTCAGCAATAAATTGATATAAATTGCGTTGCAAGCCGCAGCAAAGGCAGACTTAAACCAGTGCAAGTACCTCTCGTTGGAAAAGCCCCTCTGGAATTAAGTCTCCCCAGTGCAAGTACCTCTCGTTGGGAACGCCCCTCTGGGTATCTTCAGCCTTATCGTTGTCCAGTGCAATTACCCCTCGTTGGGAACGCCCCTCTGGACAAGGCATAAGGGTGACGATAAACTAATCTACAGTCCCCCAAGCAGCATTGACGTGTGGCCCCCTATAAGGACCCCAGTGTACGAAGGGTCATGTATCTTATAGGATTAGCGTACATGTAGGATTATATTTGGGAAAATATATATCTATATTTTTATATAACCTGAGCGAGTTTCTCTCCATCAACCCCCAAAGCTACAAACCCCCAATGTCACCCCTGTAAAGCGGGTAGTTGTGACAATATAACTAATAGAGCATTAAAATTGCTGGGTTTTGTTAAAAGAACTCTGCAAGACTTTAGTAGTATTGATTGCTTTAGAACTCTATTTTGATCTTACATAAGGTCAATTTTGGAATATGCTTGTCAGGTTTGGTCTCCTTACTATGGTCAATATGTTCAACAGATTGAGAGAGTGCAGAAGAGGTTTGTGAAATTTGTTGGGTTTAAATTGGGTATACCAAATGGGAATATTGTATATGAAGAAATACTTAACTCCCTTAATCTTACAACTCTCAGCAATAGGAGAAAATATATTGATATGAGAACCCTGTATAAAATCTTAAACGGCTACATAGACTGTCCAGAATTGCTATCTTTGTTAGGGCTTAAAGTGCCACAGAGAAATCTGAGAGGGGTAAACCTGTTTAATGTTCCATTTCATAGAACGAATTATGGTTTATCTTCATCTCTGACACGCTTTTCAGATAGTGCAAATAAATTGCTTGCAAATGGTGATGTAGACATCTTTAATGATTCTTTAAATGTGTTTGGCGCAAAAATAAAAAATATCCTGTGATCGAGCCTGTGATACCTATAAACTAGTTTTATCGAATTTTAATCTTTTAACTTGTACTTATTTTTTATTTATTTTTTAACAACTTTAATTTTTGAATTGGTGTTAATGTGATGCTGGGGACTGTATTAACTGATATGTCTATATGTTATATTGTTTGATTATTGTATTTTTGATGCTTATTTTTAGTATTAGTCCAATTTCTGTAAATGGCTGGTCCGTTAATAAACATTTATTTATTTAAAAAGTTTCAATTACTTTTGCACAAAAGATTTAAAACAGAACCTATGTCTAGAGTTTCAAAAATTTTGATCAAGCGGTTTTCAGGTGTGGCAGACAAGCTCTTAAACAAAATAAAGCTTCCAATTTTTGAGTAGTACAAATTTATTTACAACAACATTGAAATAATTTTTTTCCATTGTACTCAAATACAAAATATAGAATCACAGAAAAAAAAATCAATCAATTTATGCCTAATAATTATGACGCTTAAATAACGTAACATACAAACATAAAAAATAACTAATCTATTCACAAAATTAAACTAAGAATTTGTAGGAAAATGATGTAAAGCTTACAATTTCATCAAATCGTCTTAAAATGAACCACGAAAAAATCAATGCAGCTTTGTGACATAAATAATTTAAAATTATCATACTACGTATTACATATATTTAGTTTTGCGGATAAATTCTTAAATGTTGCTCGTCCCTTGAAATACAATAAGACAGCTTGTAACTTGAAAAAAAAATTAATGAAAGCCATATTTCTACCTAGCTGATAAATTTGTCAAATTTAAAAAAAAAGTGATTCGTTCACATGACAAACTTTTTTTTGTTGTTGCAACTTTAGTAGATTTCTATGACTTTCCTGTTAGGGTCTTGTAAACGACATCTCCAGTATGCATGGGAGTATAATATATATCAAAATTAGCAGAGAACCAAATTAAAAGAAAACACATTGTAATATTTTAATGTTGGTTTAGTTCAGATCATAACATCTTCAGTTAACTTTACGCATTTTTCATATAATCTCTGACAAAAGCTTCGTTCAAGATTTTGCATGATTTTAACGTTTCAAGACAGAACTAATATTTCCACTACTTTGTCTTAAGAAACAAACTAAAGTTTCAAATACATAAATATCAAGGCAACCATCCATCAAAATGTATTTGATGGGATTTGAAAAATAAATAATATTTACCTGCCACTGTGTTATTTATAACAAGAGAATATGAGCATAAAGTAGGCGAGTTGGGTTAAATCTCCGGGAACTAAAAAATGACTTTGGTGACAGAAGCACATGTGATATATATTTGAAGTTACAAAACTGGTCACATGTGGTTGTCATCTTTTTACTCGAGGAGGATTTACTGAACTCTACTAGTATTCTCAGTAATAGAAAAAAAAAACTAACAGTTTTTTTTTGTTACCTATTATTCAGAGCAAAAAAATCAAAAATTCTAATAACAATTTGCCTGAAAATTTTAAACAAAAAAAAAAATTCTAGTTGCCAACATATCAATTAGGGAAAAAAACGAAACTTCTAAAGCTCACAGATCCCTGAAAATTATGATAATTTTTAGCAAACCCAAATCAAATTTTAGTTTGTGAGTAAATATCATTGTACCGTTATAGTTTATTTTATTTAGTAACATTTTTTTTTTATCACTGAAAATACTATACATTTAAAAATTTATAGCGATCACATTGGCAGAAGAAAAAAAAACACAAACAAATTGCAACTAATTGAAATTGCTGTCACATCTAGTACAGTAAAGTAGTATCTGACATGGCAAGATAGATAGAAAAGCCAGTTTTTTTTGAGAATGCGTAAAGAGGTTAAAAGCGATAAGTTGATCAGTTCCAACAAAATCTCTGCCTGCAACAGCCATCTTGGAAATGGGCATTTTGGCTCTGATTAGTCTTTTTGTTTAGTATATCTGCTATAACTTTTTTTGAAATTATTTGCAGCAGCAGTTTTATTCTAAACTAAATGAAACAAAAAATACTGAATGATAAAAGCGTGGATATCCAAAGTTATCCCTTTGAAAGAAAGCTAACTACACAAGGCAAAATTTTGTTGAAAGTTTGTCAACTTGAACTATTCCTATGGCCTTCTCTTTCTACATTTCGTAGACGTTTCGCTTTGTCGATACTATTTTATTAATGTACTATGTAATCTGACTTGCTTGGCATTTCAATCATTCAACTCAATAATGTCGTTACTTTTATCGGCCGCAGACGTCGCCGCTGTGCTACTAGAACCAGAAGCAGCAGGCGCAAAAGCTCTGTTACTCTTACTGGCAACAGGTTTCACTCCACTACCACCGGCGCGCGCTTGTTCTGGCACGCCACTAAAATGTTGAGTCACGTCCTGTCCCATTTTTAAGAGTTGCAGTTCTTCGGGTGTAATCAAGTACGGATTGACAGGCGTTCGCTTCTGCTGCTTCGGCTGCTTCAGCAGCTTCTGCTGCTGCTGCTGCTGCTGCTGCAGTTGCTGGTGCTGTTGCTGTTGCATTTGTAGTTGTTTGAAATATGCTTGCTGATACTGTAACGTTTGCATCATTTGGACTTCTTGGTTCACTCGAGTGAACAACCTGTAGTCCTGTTCACTCATTTGCAACTGGAATTTGAAAAAAAAGGGGCACATTATATTGAATGAATAATAGTGTATATAAGCATTGATATATTTTTTAAATATAATTTTATTTCCCTAAGACAGAAGAACACATTTAAAACGGACATTTTAAAAAGACATTAATGTATCATTGTTTTGCATAGTCATTTTAAGGAAAATTTACAGGTCAAGAATTTAACATTACAAATGCGCTCGGTTACTTTCATATTTCATACTCTATTAATAGTAAATTGGGAAGGAACAATAAATAGGAAGCGTATATCCAGGGAATGTCGAACAGAACTTCTAAGATATCCATGCGATATTTACCATAAAGAACTAAGGTATTTGGAATCTGTTGAAGGACTTAAATTAGTTTTATCAAAGAGAAATATCGATGAATAAAAAGTGTTTGTCAAGCTACTGCAACTACGTCATGTTAAAACGCGCGAACCATCTATTAAATTTGAGCTCTGGAATTTATTTATTGACATCTCTTTTTGACGGTCGTCATCGTCCAGCATTGTTTGTTTGTTTGTTCCGATAAAAATCAAAGTTTCAGTGGTTTTAGTTAACATAAAAATATGATTTTTTGTATAGTGGTATCTCTTAAAGTTTCCCATACATTTGAATAATTGTTGAGACGTAATATCAAGTGCTTTCCCATGAAAATTATATAGTGGATTTGGTTTCTCCTGACAAGTAGTATTTTTTACTTCATTTCTTTGAAGCATATGCTTACAAGTAAAATTCTTGATTATTCATATGATATTAAGTGAATGCTTCTACTTTTACCTTTTACTTGAAGCTTTTGCTTATACTTCTACCTTTTGCTTAGAAGCAAATGCTCTATTTTTATTCATACGGCTGGTTGTTGAGTAGAAGTTTGCGAACGATGAAACACTGACTACAGACTTATATCAAAATAAGCGGCCTGTCATCTCGCCACAGCCGGAACAAATTGTGGGACCAGAATCTGCAAACATATCCCTGCAGAAGGTAAACATCACAAATAATGCAAAACAAGAAAACATCCGTAACGAATTCACACTGAGCCAAGTGGGAAGAGTCTGCAATAATGCTATGCTTGCATTTACTGCATATTCAATGCGTCCTACGCAAGATCCGGCCCAAACGTTATCGAGAGGTACTGGAAGAGTAAGTACAACACATTTTTTTGACACTGTAAACTTTTGTGATTTTTGGCCTGAGCGTGCCACATTTCGTGAATTTGTTTTTGGTTTGAAAAAAGAAAACTCTTTGCAACATCCTTTTATTGTGCAAAATGTTCACCAAGGAACAATACAACACAACGACAACTAACCATGTAGAACCAAAAACCTGTTGTGCAATTTGGCCGTAGAAAACTTTGATGTTATATTATTAACTGCAACATATCTGGATCCAAGTATCAACTCTGGTGAATTGGGTCTAATTTTTATAACCCCATCGTCCCCATCCTTATTTATCAATCACGAATCAGATGAAACAACAAACATTGGATTAGCCTTTCAAACCTGATTCCAAATATTCTAGTTTTTTTAGGTTTATTCCTCACAGTCCAGCCTCTGAATATCCCATTTTGAAGAAATAATATGGATTTTTTATATGAATGATTACCTTTATATTTTGCTAGTGGTCTCTATAGTTCACCTTTTTCGATAGAAAATTTAATTATTCCACCCCTTTTTTGACCTATTTTCTCCCAGACTATGAGGAATAGACCTAAAAAACCTAGTATATTTGGAATCAGGTTTGAAAGGCTGATGCAATGGGACAATAATATACAGGGTTTTCCATTTGAAAAAGTATAACTTTACTTCGCCGTACTTTTATGACAAACCCTATATACTTGTAACTAACATAATTGAAAACTTTCTGATATTACCTACAATTTTCACATTTGACATTTCTGGGTATCTATTCAAACAAGTGAGATAGGTGTGGGTGCAAAATATAGACAATCACCCAGTACAAATGGGAAATTCCTAACCTAATTTAATAGGGTCGTTTCCTGATTTTTTTTTATTTTTTCATTGAATTAGGGACATCAAAATCTATTCTTGGTTTTTTCCCGCATTTTTTAGAATAATATTAAAGGAGATATTTCAATTTGAAATTTTACTATTATTCGTTATTTTTTAAATTGTAATGACGTCACAAGGCGCGCTTGCGCACTGTATTTCTAAATTTAAGTTTGCATCACTGACAAAATTTCCTAGTTGTCTAGTTGGCTGCAATGCCACTGAGCCCACTGGCCTATCTCCTGTCTCCTTTTAGAGGTTATGTCAGTTATTTTGTTTATTTTGATTCTCCTGTCTAGTCTGGTTGATTTATAAAATACAAAATAAATACTTATTTCACCCGTTTATTTGGTCGGTTTATGTAAGAAGATGGATGGTGGATTTATTAAAGCCTCCAGCGAAAATTTACCTGAACTAAATTATGTGATGTTGCAAGAGTTTTTTGCCAAAAATACGGATTATTTAGGTGCAGAAATAAGAGGAGTCAAAACCTAAAGGTGGGTAGTGATATATTGGCATAATTATTGTATTGGTTTAGCTTTGGCCCATTATTATATTACATTTTTAGTAGCAGGGTAACAGTTTTATAGTTTCATATATTTTTAGGTCAGCGAGAGCCAGTTATGGTGACAATGCTATTGGCTATGTGCATTAATGTGCAGTTGAAAAGAGACAGCAGAATATCCTCTGTTAGGAGCATCGCCAGATGGAATAAGGAAAGAATTTGTGATTGAAGTTTAATGTCCTAGCAAAAAGGAGACTGTGAAAAACTACATTAAGGAAAATGGAAATATAATGACGAAATACATGTGCCAACTTCATTCTTCAGTTACAAATGTTATTGTGTAACAGACAAAAAGGACTGTTCGGTGTGGCAAGTCCCAAATTTGCAGAGGATAATGAAGTAACAATTTTTGAATTAGACTTAAACATTAGGTATATTATAGTTATTAATGATACAAGTTCGATATGAACGCCATAATGAAACGCGTGTAACGTTAAACCACGAGGCGTTAGCCGAGTGGTTTAGTTACACAAGTTTCATTAATAAAGTTCATATCGAACGTGTATCATTCAAAATTTAATCTACAATGGTCCAAATAGATTTGATTTGCCTTGAAATAGCAAAAACTTTTCAAATTAAAATTTGAAATTTAGCAGGTGCCCGTACTAGTCGAGAACCTGCTTGTTGGTTTTTAGAATTTTGACTTTGGCAGCTTCAATATTGGAGTCCATTTTTGTGCCATAAATTCAATTTTATAGTGGAAAATAATATTATTATTGGTGATTCTGAGTTCGAAAGTGTCTCTTCGAATATAGAGACAGCATTATTGAAAAGGTTCTTCTGGCAACTAACTTTCTTTTTGTATATTTTTCATTTCAAAATTTGGGTGTTATTATGAATTCTTAAACGCACTAGTGCTATTATGAAGGACCTAATGACATTCAAATGACAATGCTAAATGTGTCATAATGACACCGACGTAGATTAAAGTAATTATTAAATCAGCTGAAGAATTTTAGAAGAAAAATGTATTTTCAGTCATTTTGAATAAAAATATATGATTGATTTGGGAGTCTGGTAGTTTTCTTCTTTACATTATTTATGCATTAAAAGTACCCTTTTAATCCCCAGGATTAAATTTCACTTTATTTCCCAAGGGATTAACTTTTTACTTCATTTCCCGTGGAGTAAATGAAACGGGGAATAAAAGGGTACTCCAAAGTTGAGGGAATAAAAAACACTTTAGTCCTGAGATGTATACACTATTTTATGTACTTTAGAGGGATCAAAAGTACCCTTTTAATTTTTAACCCCTAAAGTGCATATGATAGTGTATACACTTCAGGACTAAAGTGTTTTTTAATCCCTCAACAAATAATAGCCCTCACTTCGGGATTAAAAGTACCACTTTAGTCTCTAGGTGTATAATGTACTATTTTGGCAGTAAAAAAAGTCATAGGTATTTTTTTTATACAATATATTCAAAAAAGCATTTTTTTCTAGCTTCGACATAAAATTTATTTGATTAATGGCAAATTCACTATTCCACAAGCAATAATTATTAAATAATCAGTTTTTGCCACAAGCTGATGGTCAATGCCGGAATGTCCTTCGACTATTGTTAATTCTCACAATCTTTGTATCACTCTTTCAATATGGATTCGTAAGCTGGCAATTCTTTTATTCAGCTTCTTCACAAACTCGGATTCTGCCTAAATTAATATGTGGAACCACTTTTTTCTTCATAAGTAATTTGCAGTTTGTCATCCTAAACTGCATCTAGTTATTACAATCTTGTTCCATCTATAAACATAATATAATGTTCATATTTTTGAAATAATGTAAAACAGAAAATAGGTGTTTATAAAATGAAATTTGGCAACTAAGTTTACTTACATTGAAATGATCTTCGCAGGAATAAATTCCACCAGAAATACTAGACAATACATTAACTCTTTCCATAGCTAAACACCAACTTCTTCTTTTTGTTCATTTTTGGGGACAGCTATAAAGATTTTCTTCGAATTTAGATTACTGTTTTTACAAGAAGGAACAAAACATTTACGAAAATCCATAGCCAAATAGTGAACAGTAGGTAGGACTTAGGTGGGTACACTGAAACTGAAATGCATGCTCTTTAACATCAAATAATGAGAAACAATGACTTACCTTGAATTTATTACACGTTTCTTTTAAATATTTTTCTTGAAACCTAGAAAAAACCGTTGAAAAACTCAAAAAATAATGAAAATATAACAACGATCAACGACAATCCAAAATAACAAAACAACATAACCTCACAAAATTGCATATCTTAATGGATTTGTTTACAACTGCTTTGCGCATGCCCGCCTAGAGACGTCATGGGAGAAAGAGACCAACAATTCGACAAGGACAAAAAATGTTTAAATTTTAAATTAATTTAAATAATCCAGGAAACAATTTTCAATAAAACCAATATGACATGGCCAAGTTTT